TAGTTTATTTTATTAAATATGCTGATTTATTTAATTTTTTCTACAGATTCTTCGTTTATGTATGTCTCATGGAACTGTCCTTCGATTTAGGCTTTTATAAATAAAAGTGGAAAATCATATAATATGCAGTTTGTGAATTTTCATCTGCTCTAAGGGGATCAAAAATATATTGGATTTGAAGATTTGTAGAATGGAGAGAAGGGAAACGAAGTTAAAGGATTTTGGAGATTTTCCCTCTTTCACGAATATTGAATTTCGTTTTAAGATAAACTGTTTATTTTCGCCAGCCTAATTATTTGAGTGTTTTATTGCGATGTAAAGAAAACAAAAGCCACTTTTATTACGGAATAAAGTTTATTTTATTACGCTGTAGAAAGTGGTAGGATTAAAATTTAGTAGAAATATTTGAAATATAATTATAAAATTCGATTTAGCCTATTATATTTTGTATATTCATCCAAATAGATATTAGGCGGGTATTAGATTATAAAAGATATTTGTCAAATATGTTCTATAAAAGATATTTAATTAAAAATATAATAGTGTAATATACAATCATTTATAAAATATTTTGATTTTAAAATAGTATTAGTTAGATATTACATTTTATTAAATGTTTTCTTAAATATCGTTGTCAAATATATAGTCCAATACTGGTCTTATACACGTAGTACCATTACTACACTTTATCTAGCACAATTTTAAAAAGTAAATCACCAAAAATTAGACAGAAACCACTCTTTTAGCAGCCGCTACGTGTTCATAATATTACATTTTTGTGCTTTTTCGAGTAAACTTAAAAACGAGTAGTGTAGTGATGAAAATGATCATTTGAGAGACAAAACTGTTAAGTTTTATAAAATAAAAGCAAAAATTGTTAAAGCTAGTTTATATTTAATATAAAATAGTAATATTTTCCTTTTCTAACTAAAGCTTCTACAAAATCGTCGAAAATATTGTAGTTTTTTAAGTGATACTGATACCGACATAGCTAAAAATGTTAAAGCTATAATTTCCCTATTACCTAATAGTTTTAAGGAGACAAAACTGTTAAGTCTCATAAATTAAATAGCTAAAAGCTAGTTTATATTTAATATTATAAAAAAAAGTAATATTTTTCCTTTCTACTTTCTAAAGAAATTGACTCAATAACTTCATAATTAAATGCGAAAAATGATACTATTATACCAGATGATGTCCCAAAAGATGATGTAATATCTCAATAGAAAGAATTGCCACAGGAGTATTTGTTCATCTTCTGATTTCGATTCTGATTTGGATTTGTAGGTAAGAAGTAGTTTTTATATTAAAATTATTATTTATGAACGTAACGTTGTTTAAAAGTCAAAGTTTAAACCCTTATACCTACATAACCCGTTTGACACAATGTTCTTAACATACCTTGTGGAAAAATAAAACATTTTAGAAAAAATTGCACCTTTTTACCTTCAGCTGTTTAGAAGTTATAAGCAGGTTAATTAGGTAAAAATATAAGTGTATACTCGAGGAATAACTTCAAAAAATATTTTAACGGTCTACTAAAAGAAGTGATACGCCTATGGATTACGAACGCTTTATTATTTTAATACTCTCTTATACATAAAAATAGACTATAGCCTAAAATGTGCCCAAAATTATGGCATACTCAGAAAAAGAAAAATCCAAACATGCTCTGCTAGCTTGATATGTATAAAAATTAAGAGTAAAGTAGTGGAAAAGCTGATGGAAGATAAAAACAAATCGGAAAAGCAGTAGGTATTACGTAACAAAATTTATGGTACACTGAGAACTAATCCATATTATTATTAATAGAATCAATATTTGAATTCTAGTATATTTGATTAGCTGAAATTTTAATAATATGTATTATCTTAGTAATAAATAAATAGACATTCTCAACATTTGTAGCACTTTTGTATTCCATCAATAACGCTTTATTGAAAATACTAATTTATTGCATCAAATTACCTTAAATAACATTTTTAGTAGCAAATATATAACTAAACCGTACGATTCATACGCATTTTATTAAAAGTCCGGAAAATTCTTACAATCCTGCAGTTATTTACTCTAGAATTATTTCAAATATCCCGTTCGGGTTTGGCGCAGTTTTTCATGCTTGTGATTTTTCCGAGCAGAGCAAATATTTTTCATGAAAATAGCAGCTATTACGTTACCTATTTATCTCTAAAAAATAATTAAATGCAAACAACGAGTTTTATTTGACGGCCATTTGAGCATTATCGCGTTCGGGTTTTCGAAACCATTTGGTTCATTTTCGTTAAATATTTTATTTACATATTTTACTACTATTTTTTTTTTCAATCTAATTTCCAACAAGTTTGTAGGTAATACAATTTTCGTAATACACAAAAATATTAATATTTTGTTACAGAAGTATGATACCGTCCTTAAATGTTTGGTAAATTTAAAGATAAGGGTTTGATGAAACGTCTGAGAAGATTAAAAACAGTACTATCTTTTATCTCACTTTTTACACAATGTCATACTTTTTCCCTTACAATTCTTCACTCTAACAAAATCGCTTGTAAGAAAAAAGCAGGTAATCTAAAATAGGTAAAATTACTTGCTATGGGTTTAAGAAAATCAATAAAGAAATATGTATTGTTTCGATGAGTAACTCTTTTCTTTTTTATATAATATTTTCCTTCATAAATTTTAATTTACCAAGAAAAGCTGAAATTACCCTCTTTGCTTTTATTAAATTGAGGCTATCCCCTTATAATTGTAAGTTAAGGTCATTAAATTTTTTAAACAAATCTGTCAAATACGCGATGTCTGCTTTAAAACTGATCAAGTTTTTTTTTTTAATCCGGATCTTTACTTTCCAAAAACTCTAAAACTGAGTCAAAAAGTAAATAAAATCTTGATAAACATGCACCTTTCGACAACCAGCGTACTTCGGTATGTAACAGAAATCGTTGGAAGTCCGTATTTAATGCATTGCTTCTTATTTTGTTAACTGCATTAATCACAAATTGAAGCGATTGGTGCAATCTATCACTCAAATTTTTCGCTACTACACTGAGAGAATTATATTTAAAAAGTTTTTTGTTGAGAAATTTCTTGCTACCACAAATACATTTACAGCTACAATTAAAAAAATACATTCATGCAACTAAATAAAATGCTTTTTTAAAGTAGTTTTGTCTCCATACAAAAAAAAACTTGTTACCCTTGCCAATATTTTTTTTTTCAAACTATAGAACCAGCAAAAATAATTTTTGCTTTTAAAAATAGTTTTTAATTTCTAAACATTTATTTTCTGTAGTAGAAATTCAAAATATTAATACGTATATTTTCCATCATAACAATTCGCTTTTTAAATCTAATAAAAAATATCTTTAGAAAATAACGATCGGTTTCGATCGAGAGCTTTTTCGTCTGTGCTCGAGAAAATGTTTGTGTATTCGGCGTACTCCGTTCAGTCCGTTCCCGGTATATCGGCAGGCACAGACAAGAACAAGTGATTGATTTGTGATTTTAGTTATAATTACCCTAGCCGCCAGCAAAGGTCATCCACGTTACGTTGGCAAATCGTAGGTCTGACGCCATTTTTGCAATAATTGTGCATAAGTTGTGTTCGTTTTCCCATGGATTATACAGAGAAGCTGACTAATTGGGGACTTCAAGATTTTGTTTTTTAAGGGTAAGTACATAACGTATAATATAAAAGTATTTTATATCTACTAATTTACCGGTTTCAAATGTATTGACCCCTCACTTTAACGTTAATTACGGAAAAAACAGTAGATAAAGCGAAAAATCTTGCAAAGTTTTTTCATTAAGATATCTGAAATTCCTTTTTCTATTTTGATAGAACTTGGGGCTATTTTGAGTACTGAGGGTTAAATTTATTTGTTCCAGTGACGTTAACAGATATTTCTAATAAAACACATGTATGGCAGTGTTTTTTTATATTTTTATTAAATTAAGAAATAGAAAACAAAAATGTTTTGTAATTATTTTTTTTGTGCCACTTTTTGGCAAATTAAACATGCATAGCTGTAGTGTTTAGGTATACATGAAATAACCTAGAATAAGAAATAAGAATTAGTAGAAAAGATGGCAAACTTTTATCTTTTTAGGTATACCTTATTTTATTTAATTTTGTTTGGAAATTGATAATGCGCATGCCCCAAATGTTTTCTGTTATAAATGTTCCGGCTTAAGTTTTTTTTTAATGAATTTTGACAGTTTTACAAAGGATTCGGGAGACTGAGTAATTTTTTGCAACAATTAAAACTGCCTGTTTAAGGTAACAAAATACTTTTTAACTGCAAAAAAAATACTGTTTAACCACTAAAAACCTACTTTTTAACCATAAAAAACTACTTTTTAGTGAGTAAAATTTTACTTTCTAACCACTAAAATTAATAAAAACAAAAGTAAGTTTTTAGGGACTAAAAAGTAATTCCAAAAAAGTGAATTTATTAACCGTAGCAAAGTACTTTGGCTGTCGCCTATTTTAATAGAGTTTTTTTAAGTGTTGATATATTTTTTGCCACCACAGCAAAAAATTTCCCTCGGTGTAATAATAATAATAATAATAATAATGTAAAAGTCGGTAATAGACACAACACATATAGTCAGACCATTTCTAAACACGTGATCGCAGAACATTAGGAACACACCGACCAATATCGAGCTAAAAAAAAAAAAAAAAAAAAAAAAAAAGTAGATAGTCTGTTATGTTAAACCGAAACTTTTTAAAATGTCAATTGGAATTAAAAGTAATGACTGCACTACTAAACATAGTTGGTTTTAAAGTTACTTGTAAATTGTATAATTTTCTTCGGAATTAATTTATTTGTAAAAAGGTTATTAAAGAGATACTCCTAATTTAAACTAAAAAATTACTCATCTTAACAATTTACCATAAAAATGCTTCTTAGATATAATTGTATCAATATTTTTTTATTAGGCTTAAAAACGAGAACTAGACTCTTCATCAGTTTCGGAGAATGTTCTGAAAAAATCGCCGAGCCTCGTTTTGTCTGCTGGTGTTGTGTATGAACTTGTGCTTGCAGGTGTGAATGACCTTGATGATAGTGTGGTAATAGTTATCTGTTTGATTACGAAAATCTGATGCAATTGAATGTAAAGAATGTTGCGGTATGGGATATTGTAGATGTTACGTCAGTTGAGGATATTGATGCTGATCCACAGGAAAACTGTATTGGGACATGTCTAGTTTAAACAGAATGTTGCCAATTTTATGCTGTCTTTGTGCGCGCAATTGATTATTTAATTTTCTGAGCTTCTCAGCTACGAACTCTCCAAAAATTTTGCATTCATCTTTAGGTTTGTTTGATGCTGCAGCTTTATTCCGTAGAAAGCTAAATGGTTCAAGTACTTTGAGGTCATCGGCAGTAAACCTTCTCTTTTGCGACAGGTTTTTTTGGGGAGATATAAATTCTTTCTGTTTTAAAGTACTTGTTTCCGTACTTATATTTTTGGATATATTAGTATTATTTTCGTCTAGCTGTGTAGTCGGTGCACTCTCTTCCTCCATCGTATTTTCAGTGCTGTCAATATTTTCTTCTTGCGATTCATGAAGTACATTCTGAAATGGAATAAAACATGATTAGTCATGTAAAAAAATAAAAAAAAAATTAAAAAAAAAAACAAAAAATTAAAATTTAAAATATCAGGACGTTTTTTTACATCGCGAAAAATAATATGAATAATATTGTAAATTTACATGATGTTATTTCTTGTGCAGATGTCATCAACTGCTGAAGAAAAATAGCAACAAATTGCAGAACAATTCGAAAACGTTTGGAATTTTCCAAATTGTGTGGGGACAATTAACGGAAAACATATTGTCTTATAGGCTCCAATAAAGCAAGTATTTTAATTATAAATTTCAATTTATTATAGTATTGATGGCTGCAGCAGACGCAGATTATAACTTTACTTTCATCGATATTGGTTGCCAAGGTCGTATGTCAGATGGCAAAGTCTTCAAAAATGCAGGACTGTGGAAGAAAATTGAGAAAGTTACACTAAATTTGCCTTCAGCATCGGCTTTGAAGAAAAAATAAAAAGAAGTACCTTACGTGTTTATAGCAGACGCGGCATTTTTTTTAAACAATCACCTTATGAAACCGTATCCTGGATAGCACCCAAAACATTCACAAGAAAAAGTATTTAATTATAAATTAAGTAGAGCTCGGCGAATAATTAAGAATATGTTTGGAATTTAAGCAAGCGTTTTTAGAGTTCTTCAGAAACCAATGTTGCTACAGCCAGAAAAAGCAACAGTTGGCGTTATGTCTATTGTTTCTTTACAATATTTTTTTACGACGAAGCAAAAGTTTCAAACACATTTACACACCTCCTGGTTCATTAGATACTGAAGTTGATGGGAACATAATACTTGGAACGTGGAGAAATGAAGTACAAAATATGACATTTTTACTACCATTAAAAATCTGATGTGTCCAACACATGACTTTCCTATCTAGTTATTATAGGCTTTTTCCGGTTATTTTGTACAACCTGTTGCAGCATTTTTATAAATGTTTAGAGGATAAACTAAATATATACATTGTCCACATACATATCTACCTCGAAACATTTTTCTATAGATATTCATTGAAAACGAAAATACTGAAAAATTTAAATTTATTACTTTTCCATTACGGTCCATTTTAGAAAAATCATAGAGATCGATATCGCAAACAACTTTAAGTTCAACAATTTTCATAAAAATCAGAATTTTGCACATTTTGTCAAATTTCTCGAATACGGACCATTTCAGGAAATTTTGACAAAAAACAAAAATTATAGATAATAATATTAGAAGTAACTTTTATTTGAACAATTTTCTTCTCCAAACATAAATAACAGATATATTCCTTAAAATATAGAAACGCCCCCCATAAAGTACCCCCCTAGATGTTCCGACTTTGTTCAAAATCTAATCAGTTCACGTCAGGCCGAAATAAACCTTAAGTTTAAAATTTAATGTTTTTTTCTTTATCCGTTTTTGAGTTTTCTTTAAAATTCGAAATTTACACATTTTCTCAAATATCTCGAATACGGTCCATTTTATGGAAATTATGTATAGAATAAAAATTATAGAGAATTATATTACAAACAACTTTTATTTGAACAATTTTTATAAAAAAATATTTTTTTTAACATTTTGTCAAATTTCTCGAATACGGACCATTTTAGGAAAATTTTGTATAAAACAAAAATTATAGATAATTATATTAGAAGTAACTTTTATTTAAAGAATTTTCTTATCCAAACGTAAATAACAGATATATTCCATAAAATATAAAAATGACCACCCATAAAGTACCCCCCCAGATGTTCCGACTCTGCCCAAAATCTAATCAGTTCATAAGACGCTAGAATGAAGCTTCAGTTTAAAATTTGGTGTTTTTCTGTGTATCGGTTCATGAGTTATGTGACCTACACACACACACACACACACACACACATGATTCCTATACTTTCCTTATATCTGTATACAGATAGGAAAGTAAAAACGGTGAAGCGTAAAAGTGGAATTACTGCTAAACAAATACAACAAGAGTTTGCAGAATACTTTAACTCTGTTGGCCAGTACTATGACAAAACAAATATTCGTGATTGACTTATTGTTTAATACTTATATACTTATGAACGTATGTACCCTTTTATAAATAAATCACTACATTGACAGAAAAAAAGTATACTAACACTTATTGTAGCCCGAGAATCATCCTTATCATCAAAAAATTTAATTTTTTTAAATGCAAACCGTTTTCGTCATGGCCTGTAAAAAGATTAAATATGTTTAATTTAGGTTTTTGTCTAGATTATTTTTTAAATTTCTTACCTTTACCTGTTCCAGTTGTTTTTTTTAATTCGATTCTTTTCTCAGCGATAAGAACCCTTTAAACTCTCAATGTTTTTCTTAATTTCTTGGACGTCAATTTTTAAAATTTCGCCTATTTCGTGCTAAGTATCTTCTTTTTTTACCGTGTCTTGCTTTCCATAATACAAATATCTCGCTGATGATATAAATCGAAAAGAAGAAAAACATTTTCCTGTTTTCACTTCATCGAGATAGAATAAAGTAGAGACGATAATAGTATATTATGCAACGATCATGTAATGATGGTTATTAATACACGAGCATTAACCGGGATACGAAACGAGCCAAAGGCGAGTTTCGTATGGTTTATGCGAGTGTTTTAATAACCATTACATGAGAGTTGCATACGCTATTTTTTCTACACCCGATAAATAATCAAGACCTATAAATATTATATTTATATTGGTATTGAACACATTAACAGTAATTACTCGTATTTCTATAAAAAATTCTACAAAATTGTAATTAATGGTATTACTTCAGGTATTGGTATTTCCCTAGATTTTTGCGGTAAAATATTTTGTACTGTATTTTCTGCTTTCTCCGATATGTGTGGAGGAGTCTTCTATATCGCTAATATCAGACATTTTAATATTATAATTATCGAAGTTTAGCTACCTACGAAAATTTAATACGTTTTGACAACTAAAATAATTACATAGGAACCTAGGACAAACGTCAAACAGCATGCTTGATTGAAAAATTGTAGGTTTCTATTGATTAAAAATCTGTATCGTAATGAAAAATCTGTATCATAATGGGTATCATTATGAAACGGATTATGGGCATATAAGTGCATTATTATAATACGGGTGTAGAAAAATACTATTTTGCGATTTTGACAGATGCCTGACTAAAGGAAAAGTGTAAATAGAAATGGCGACTTAAGGTCGTAGTTTTATTTATTTGAAGTCAATAATTTTGATTTGATGATTGATGAAATGCAAATGTTTTTATATCATTTAAATAAAGTTATTTTAAAAAATTGCCTTTATTATCATCAAAACTGACTAGCTCGGGAGTGACACATGACGTAAAAGTGTAATGCAAAAGTGCTAACGATTTTTGTTTCGTTATAGCATCCGTTCTTTATTCTAAACCTTAAAAACTCATTAAAATCTATTCGGTGCTGTATGTACAAATTCCCCGTCCAGACTGAGCACGTACTGCGCATTGCCTTCCTTTGATGTACCGCCAACAAACGGATTGGTGCGAGGCCGTACGGCGCACAGAACGAGGCAATTTGCCGCGCCTCGGAAGATCGTCCACATTTACATGCTCATGCGTCCTTGGCTTGCCTCATACGCGTACGTGCTCAGATCTGTACCCGCCTTTAGACACTGGAAAAACAATCTACTCAATTTTTCCATTCAAACAACTATGATAATTTAACAAGTATTATAAATTAAAAATTAAAAAAAAAAAAACGACTTCAAAAACGTCCAGATGCCATTACCACATCTTAACCAAATTTATATGGGACCACCCTTGAGGTACCACCTTACTAACAAAAAAAGAATCATAAATCGGACAAGGTGGTAAAGCATTATCGCTAAACATACATAAAAAATAAAGAGTTTGAGGATTTTCTCATGGACCCAATTAATAGATTTTGACCAAATGTATATGGGACCACCCCTGAAGTACTAATTTTCTAACAAAAAAAGAATCATTGAAATCAGACACCGTGTTAAAGAATTATCACTGAACATACATAAAAATATTGCGACGAATTGAGAACCTCCTCCTTTTTAAAGTCGGTTAAAAATACTACTTTGCCCCAATCAATTTCTCACACTCTTTTGTTTAAAAATACTAAGAAGTATATGTTCAAATTTCTAGTACTTTACCATAGTAGGTACTGTTGTAATTCTTTCTTTTTAGGGTGTGCAATAATACATTTTAAGTAGAGATTACAAAAATAAAATTCGAGTACTCTTGCGTTAATAGCTCAATATTAAGAAATAATTTTCTCCGATAAATATTTTTTCCCAAGTCGGTATGATCACTTACATATCTGACTTCTTTCATACTCCCCAGCCCTAAAAAAGTTACTGGAGTGTACAAAGCCGCACGACCGGAACTTTGTAACTTTTTTAATAAATTCCAATTAGATACGCGCCTTCAAAACCCCACATCCTCCTTGCCTAGCTTCGTCATTTCCAGACCCACGCCACCCTCTTTGCACAATAAGCTGCTAATCCTCGGTCACGTGACCACTGGTTTTTTTCGTAAGCGTCATACCGGAAACACCCTTTTTGTGCCACTTGTGCAATAAAGAATACGAAGCACTTCTTTTAGACTTGTAGTCAAAATAATTAAGGAGGGTGTGCTCGGAATTATATTGATGTCGCTAAAAGATCCATTTGTCTGGTAGAATGGATAATTTAGATCCATCTCCTTTTTCTGAAACTGAACATTGCTGCGACATATGAGCACGTGTTTAGGGTAGAGTGAAAATCATTAACTTGATTCTATATTTGTTTCATTCTATATTACCAAGATGTGAATTTGAATAATATTATTGTCGAAGCATCGAAAAGAAATATTAAATTTACCTTGTTTTTTTAATGTGTCTTGCTAATAACTATTGATTTACGTATATATAATTTATGCTATTCACGCTATATATTTAAGTTTAATGCCTGCACATTGTATTATTTTCATGTTATCTCTTTGTAATTCCTTCACATATAATTCCTCCATATGTAGTTCCTTCAAATTTAATTTATTTACATGTTTTTCATTAGAATTTTGTGCTAAATACGTTTATTTAAGATTGCTTAAACCATTTTCTTAATCCAACCTAGAAAAATTATTAGATTATTAATATCTGAGCATTAAACCTTATCTGAGAGATTTATTATCTTCTGACTTGAGGTGTCCAAACCAAGACAACAAATTCTAGATGAGGGACCTTATAATAGAGGATATGCTCAAGAACAAAATAAAATTGAAAAACAGAACAAGTGGAAAGAACTATTGGAAACCAAGCAGTGTTGAAACTAGCAGATACGAGTAGTAGCAAAAATACCTAGTCCCAGATCAGCTCGTGAAGAGGAAGGGAAATATTTTTTAATGTGGTAGGATGAGAGTCGCTGGCAGATTCCTCACACTACACACGTGATCTATTAACTCGCAATCATAAGGTGAACATAAATATTTTAAAACCAATTAAAATAATTAGACCAAGCAAAACGTTGTATAGATTTGGAGTCATTTTATAAAAGGAAAATCAACCTCTCATTAATAACTGAAATACTAATATCAGAATTCTAGCACATACTTAATCGCACTCGATTTCATGGGCGTCATTATATAATTTTCGAGGAAGGGGCAAATAAATCTAGTTTGTTGAACTTGAAAATTAAGTTAATAAAAATCAGAAACACCTTTCTTATGTTTATTTGTCAAAATTGTCATCATTAGCAATAAGTGGTGGTAAAGATTTTGGAAAACGTTGATTTGGATAAAATCAAGGGGACTGAAAACTGTTATAGATTACTTTTTTTACAATATTTATTGAAAAATTTGTTAAAATTAAGGTAAAATTTAGTATTTTGTATGGAGAAAAAATAAAATAATGGAAAATTAAAACGATAATTTTTATATACAAAATAAAAACTTATTCTGCAAAGAACGCCTATAAAATGTGTTACATATCCACTTTTACTGCACTTCTCTTTTATTAAGAATATACAAGGAACAGCAGTAGAAAATAAAGAGAAGAAAAAACTTTAGATTTAATTTTTGTTTATTTCAGGATATTTATAAATTTTTTTAAGAAATGTTTCCTGATAATTTTAAACAGTACAATCAGGATTTGGGGAGGGCATTTGCCCCTTCTTGACCCTGACCTACGACGTCTATGTTCGATTCTAACAAACGAGTGGTTCAGTGTCAGCGTTGCCAAACCAACAAAATTTTGAAGCAAAAGATCTTCGTTTATTATTATTTTAAAATCATTTCCATATGTGATATATTTGCCTATTTCTTAAAATTATTCGTTTTCGGTGCCATTATTTATACTTTAATATTAGGCAATTGCATCTAGTAGTCACAGGTAAAGCGCTTTGATCTTAATTTATTCATTTTTAATAATTTGTTGTTTAGGCAACTCTGGCATAGAGTCACACTGTGCCACACGAATTTGTCAAAAGAGCCAAAACAGAGGCGTACATCTAGTTGTATGGCTCCGCTACTTTCTACGAGGACTGCAGAGATACAGATAGGGCAGGACATCCTCTCCATCTGCACAACCAAAGAGCCTAACCTTAGATGAACTTCTATACAGATTGACTGAACTCGACATACCCTGTCAAGGTTATGCCGACGACACAGTCATATTTGCTAGAGGAAAGTTTGGAAATATCCTGTGTGATATAGTCCAAAAGTCCTCTTTGGAACATATTAAAAGATAATGCCAAGGGGTGGGACTTAGTATAAACCCCAACTAAACCTCACTTTTCAAGAAAAAGGAATCTTATTCATAAACCATCAAATTAGACGGGATAGATAGAGAATCGAAAAAGAGGCTCTAATGGTATGAGGAAACATTGCGGGTACAAGATGGAGATGTATGCCGAATATACTACGATGGATGTATACAACAAAAATGAGACCAATCATCACTTATGGGGCTGTAGTCTGTAGTAACAGAACAAGTTTAACTACCACAAGAGCTTATATCTCAAAACAATAAAGACTAGCCTGTGTTTGTATCACTGGTGCAATGAGAACCTGTCCTACGGCCGCAATGGAGGTGGTTTTAAACCTTACCCCCCTTTACATTTAATGATAGAGAACGTGGCAAAAAAGAACAAGATATAGAATAATCAGGAACGAAGTAATCAAACAAAAGTCTATTAGCTTCGGTACCAAAGATATTAAGGATATGACCCAGGAAGAAATGAGAAAGTAGTACAGTTTTGTAAAAACCTTCAAAACCCTATAACTAGACCGAAAAAAAGAATGAATCCAAGAATCCATCGTGTATGCAACCAAAAGACGCCATTCAGTGGTATACAGAAGGTTTCAAAACCATATGTGGAACTGGAATAGGAGTGTAAGGGACTAGAACCAAGCACTCTAAAAGTTTGGGTAGATACCCAAACATCTTAACGCCATTGAAAAGTCTGTCCACTTAAAAATTGAGAGAAACTATCGGCAGACAAAAGATTTCATCATGTTCGATATCCAAGCAGACATCAAAGCGCTGAACTCTTACGTAATTAGCTCAAAAATGGTCTGGAGGTGCTTAGAAAAATTAAATAAGCAGTTACCCTCACTTAGGTCCTAAGACATAATAGTGTAAAGAGTGACCATATTGCAGATAGTATCCCAAGGAAAGGGGCTCAAACACCCTTTGTGGAAACTCAGCCATTCTGCAGTATCAGTAATAACACAATATTGGGAGAGATTCAAATAGAATTAGCAGTAAAGAGACTGATAATTGAAAAAATATCTTGTAGTTTAGATAGGTTAAGATACTTCTGGAAAAATATAACCAGAAAAGATCTGAAGCCTGTATCAGTCTGAGCAATAACAGGCTATATATTGTAACAGGGATCCTTACCGAGCACTGCTGACTCAAAGCACACCTTAGTAAACTAAGGATACTAGAGTATAGTGAATGCAGATGCTGTGAGGGGGAGGATAAAACTTCCATTCACATTCTGGCGGAATTTGTAGCAATCTAGAATCTAAGGGCATCGACACTTTTTCCTCGATGCATTATTGATAGAAGAGGCACAAAAGTTTAGGTCGCAGTGCAATAATACACCATACCCATCATAACATAACTCTGGCACTGAACCACTCAAATAAACCTCGTAATAATAACCATTAAATTATAGTTAATTAAAATCACGAAAAATAAATAAATGTTTAACTTTAAATTGTAATATTTTAAAGAGAAAATAATTATATGGTACTTATTCGTGATTTTTGCATAATTGTACTGATAAATATGAATTTATTCATATACATTGTAAAGTTTAATACTTTTAATGGATATAGTTCATAATTAATAAAGTTGTGACTGTAAAACGTTTTTCAAGAATTTTATTTAAAATTTAAAAATGGTATGTAATGGTAATTCTATAATTTTTAACCAGTTAAATATTTTTTATTTTGTAGCACAAATCTTTAATTTTACTATCAGCATATTTTGCAGGTAATATTGTTTTAATTTATTTCTTCTTTTAATTAAATACATTTTTTACCTTCTTAAAAAGTACTCTCTTTCGATTACAATATTCAATATCATTTAACTAAAAGTAAAACAAATTTAACTTACTATATTTCTTGTATCATGATTTTCTTGTATGTAATTTGTATTTGTAGTGACTTTGGCTCTTCCTCCTCCCGAAGTAAAAGAAGATGGTTCTGAACGTACTATAGGAATACCATTAAATCCCATTGGTAAGATACTTAATATTACTATCAGTATAATAATTATGTTCGTACGTTATTTTCTTAATAATTCTTCTTATAATAATTTAATAAATATTATGCATGACTTGGTCCATAAACTCTAGTCGGAGCCTACCTAAAGGCGTTCCTCTAGTGCATAGGTTCCCAACGGGTGCGATACCGCCTCCCGTTTGCGCTGGAACTTTCTATGGGGGCGCGGCAGTAGCGGATCCAGTGGCAAATGGGGGGTGTTAAGGCAATCAAGAGGGGTGATGACTATCCTAACACCACCAAAATATAAAAATATATATTTTTCAATATTAAAAAAAGATTTATAAAATATAGTTAACAAATATTTCTAATAAATCTTTATAGTTTGAAATATTGTTTGCTATAAGGTATCTATTCATCGTTAACGATACGAACAGGCCCAGGGGCGGCTCGTGATCAAAATTTTGGGGGTTTACAGTAGCAGAATGTAAATTCTAGTACAGATATAGGTAAAAAACTGTCAGAAAGGTATTTATAAACTTTCTAAAACACTGAAAGTTTTTTCATACATCTGTACTGATACCTGTATTCTGTCACTGTGAACAACCCCACGAGCTGCCACTGGA